GCACTGGACCTACAAATACGAAGAACATTTAAATAAAACAATAGGACCATTAGGCAAGGCGTAAGCCTTGGAGCTAAGCCTTCTTGAGAAAATTCATCTGGCCCCAGCCTGAAAAAGAGGATAATAGGATAGCTTCTCTCTGATCTCGTCCAGCAGAAGACTTCTACGAGTCTTCTAGTAGTGACCTTCTAAATAACAGAACAACAGACTTGGAAGGGACCTTGGAGGTCTTCTAATCCAACCATCCTACTCAAGCAGGAGACACCGTATCAATACGAACAAATGGTTGTCCATTCTTCTTGAAAACCTCCAGGGATGGAGCACCTACAACTTCTGGAGGCAAGTCATTCCACCGATGAATTGTTCTGTTGTCCTTATTTTTAGGTGGCTTGATTAGTGTTCCTAACTCTCATCAGCATGCCAAGGGTCATATATCAGTGATGGAAAACCTTTTCGGCACTCCAGCACACGCAAAGACCAGCTGGCCATCATGCATTCATGCACTGGACACTGGAAGGGCAGCTGGTGATAGTGCATGTGTCCACAGAGAGGGCTTTGTGTGCCACCTGGTGTGCCACAGGTTCGCCATGACAGTCATAGATGATGATGTTGTATTCCACATTTGTCAGACACGGGTTCCTTAATAATAACAATAGATGCCCATTTTAATACATCACCATGATTAAACACCACATTAAAGGTTGGTGATTACTGCTGTTTCCGGGACCCTGGATTATCGGCAAATTATAATAATCTATGGATTCCTCTGATTAAGGAAATGTAGCTGCGTAGCTCTTCAAGGAGAGATTATCCCAGTAGAACGTAGAGAAGAGGCATAGCCTACAGCTAGAGATGAACCAGAATGCTGTATTTTAATAGGCACCAATTTAAATTGCATTTGCCACTCGCTATTCAAATCAAAGCTATTTGTCCGACAGGGTTTATGCTGCTGTCTTCAAATCAGAGAAAGAAAAGTTGAGTTTCAAATACATAACTGTAGGTAGGTCCAGACAAGCTGCATCTCAAAGAGGTTGTGCTAAGTGCTTAAAAGATAAGAATAAGGTGTAGTTTAAGGTAAACTGCACCCCAGATGTCTATGATGCAAACAAGAGAAATAAACCTTTGAAAAGTAATGCAAGTATCAAAGCTAACTAAGAATTTGGGGTGAATTCCCACCAATATTTTAAGGAAGGACAGAAGCAAATATCCTTCCTCTCCTTCTTCCTTAAGAGTAAGGTTAGGATCTTAGATGCAGAACCCTCAGCCGAGTATGTGAGGCTCCACTGGTGGAAGAGAAGGTCTATGGTGGCCTTCAAAGGTTTCCAGATGTGGCCATTGCAACATCAGCCCAAGAGAAATAAGTGAGTGACCATTCCCAGCCTGCGTATTCAGGTGAACAAAATAACAATAAGACCAAGACACGCAACCCACATACACTAACACAATTCTGAATTCAAACCCAATAGCTGTGTTCACAACACACACATTTGGTCACCACAGTGTAAAAAAGATGTGGAGACTCTAGAAAGAGTGCAGAGAGGAGAAATGAAGATGAGGAGGGGACCTGAGGCTAAAACATACATTCAACTGGGTATGTCTAATCTGACGAAAACAAGGACCAGGGGAGACCTGATAGCAATGTTCCAATATCTCAGGGGTTGCCACAAAGAAGAGGGAGTCAAGC